TGGACCCCAGGTGCGAATTTATGAAAGGTTTGAGACCGTGGCTGACACAAAGTAAAGGTAAGGATAAAGTTCGCAAAAAGTTGAAAGGTTAGGGACTGCTACTGCAATTATTCCTTATTTTTATAACATTTAAAGGAAAAATAGTTAAGAACAATTGAATATTGGAATATCATAGAAGTAAAAATTAAGTTATATATAATATTCTAATTATATAAACTATGCTTTGCACAGTAGTGTCTGAGCCAATTGGCTCGACCTTATTAGCCACGAGCTCGACTGGTGACTCTTACCATATTCTCCTATGCTATCAAGTAGCTCACGAGCCAAGGCGAGCCCAGGAGCTCGATTTTTTTTAAGTTACCAAACGATGCTTGGTCATTTTTTTAACAAGGCTCGTGAACTTTGGTCTTGTGCATTGTGCCCATGAACTACTTGACCGAGCTACGCTCTTGGCTCAGCTCGGTCCGACACGAGTTTGAACCACCCACTAGCCGAATCGACGAGCTATTCGACCCTTTTGCAACCTCTAGGGATCTGCATTCCTCGTCCCATTTTCATTTAATTATTTTAAAATTAAAAATATATAATTTTTTATATAAATAATTTTCGAGACAAGAATCTTGTTTTCCATCCAAAACCCATAAAAGGGAATTTTCTCCAACTTCAATCCCTACCTCCTAACGAAGAATACCCCTTCCCAATAGGGCTGTACACTGCGGGAATCAGAGTGAGCAAGCTTTTAGCCATCAAGAGAGGAAAAATAGCCCTGTTTGGTTTTTGTAAAAATCAAATTTTTAGTAATACGTAGTTGGGAAAAAAAATTAAATTTTAAGAAATCGGATCAAACACCTTTCACCTTTTATTTTGCTGTAAAATCGAATTTTTTAATTGATAAGCTCAGAAGAATTTTTGTTATCCAAGAAACCAAGAAGGCTATTTTCTTTTTTACCGGTATATAACAAAGGGAAAAATTCATAAATAAGGTGTATACTTTACACTAATTCAAAAATCAGGTTTATAGTTTGAATATTAAAAAATATGGTTTTTTTTTAAATTTTTATTTATGAAATAATAAATTATAAAATATTTAATTCTAATACAATATAATTAACCCATCCCACATGCACTGCCCATACCGCTTCGGGGACTATTCCAACGACCATTCCGATCACCACTCTTCTTTGGCGATCGTTTTGGCGACTGCTCTGATTCTCGCGACCATTCTGGTCACAGATTTACAATTTACGGTCACAACTCAAAAATTTTATAGGTCACAATTAATCCGTTGGTCACAAATTTCAAAATTAGTTGGTCACAGATCAAAATTTATAGGTCATAAAGTTACAAATTTCCAAATTAATTAGCCACAGATCAAAATTTATAGGTCACACAGTCACATATTTCTAAATTAATTGGTCATAGATTTTTTTACGGTCACAAATTATATAATTTTTAGGTCACAGATAAAAAAATGGTTTGTCACAGATTATATTTTTAGTCACAAATTATATTTTTAGTCACAAAATCAAAATCAAAGACACTCTTCATCCCCTTCGCCACTGCCTGAACCACCACCACCACCACCACTAATAGTAACAATACAACACCACGAACACAACATCACCACTATTAGCACCACCATCAAACGAGATCTGAACCTACCAACCCACCACACACTCCACGACTGGTCAAAAACCATACACCCACGCAGCCAATACCAACGCATCGCACCCATAGCACACACCCACCACCACCGCAACTTGTGACCACCCTTACCATGCGACCATCGCCACACCACCACCACCCACCAGCACTACCGTCAACATATCCACCAACACAACCACACAAAAATCACCGCCTACCAAACAATCCCCAAATCTCCGCCGCGACCACCACTTCACGATACCACCACCCATATCAACGATTCACCACAACCTCCTCAGATTGGAAAGAGAAAGAATAAAACCCCTTCTCCCTAAGCCAGCACCAATCGGTACTGAAGGACTGCAGCATCGCGAACGAAGGCGGTTGTCGCTGTGAACGAAGGCAATCTTCGCGGTATCTGCATAGTGGAGCTTGAAGGCGATTTTCGCTGTGACGCTGTGGTCTCCAACCACGGCGGCTACTCATGTGTGAGGGAGAGGATTGAGAGATGGAAGTGTGGGTTAAATGGATAGAGTGATGAGAGAATATGGAGTCAAATGAATTTGAATTTTCGGGTTTGAAATTGGATTGGGATGAGATGGCTTATATATTTTAATAGTTAAATCAATACCTGACTTTTGAATAAAAAACATTGCCACCTGATTTTTGCTCCTGATCTTGAAAAGCCTGGAATTATGTAATTTTCCCTATAACAAATTATGAGTTGCTTTTAAAACAACTTCATTAAAATTAACATCAACAACTATAAATAAAACCCATTTAAAGGCCCGTTTAAGCCCTATTTTCGATGTAGAATGCATTTTGGAATATTAAATTATTGAGATTTTGGGGTTAAAAATGAAGAAAAATTTTTTTAGTTGCTTGTAATATTGTTTTATTGAAAATGTGTAGTTAAAAAGAAGAGGAAGAAAAATATATTTTGAAAAAAAAATGGAGATCAAACAATGGCTAAATCTCAGGCACCTACTTTTCTCATTTTGTCAAAGAGTTATTTGGCACTTATATGAACCTTAATTGACTAATCATGTAATATCGAACCGTTCAATATCCATCATCAAACATATGAGTTCAGAATGTGAATAATAATAGAGATTGCACTCTATAAGCTATTTTACACTCGGCAAATGAACTTTCGTGCTGAAAATTATGAGAACATGTGGTTGAAAATTAATTTGAAAAAAAAATTGTTCTTTTTATTTAATGATTGTCCAAAAGTCATTTTTTTTCTCAAAATTTATTTTTGATTATACGTTCTTCCAATAAAATTTTAGTTTACGTAGATTCTAAAATTTTTATATTTTTAATCATACATTATTCAAAAAAATTGTTCAAAAAAAAAAAAAAAAGTTCTATCAAACATAGACTTGTTTTAGCTTCTAATATATACTTAAATTTCAAATTCTAATGCTTGTCAGAATGGCAATATTAGAGAATTTTCAAGAAACTTTTCATTTATAAAGAACATGTTATGTATAATAGAGAATGTCTTGATATTCAGAGAGTTAACTCTTTCTGCACTCCAACAATGCTCTCTTTTTTGACTCTTCATTTTTTTCAAGAGACATTTATTGATTTCTCCTCATCTTTTATTTAATATATTACTTTATAAGTCAATGATCAATCAATTTAAATATAATTTGAGTATTTTGAGAATTAAAGTATTGAAATCAACTCTCTAAAATAGATAACATCTTGTGTTTAGAGAGTCTTTTGAAGATAATTCTACGGTATAATTTATCAAGAAGCTTTCTAGATTGTATAAATACATATGAAAATTTCAGTCTCTTTGAGTATTTTTTATCAAGTCCAAGGTGGAAGTTCAAAGTTTACATATAATGGGAGAAACTTTTTGGTGTGTATTTTAAGAGTCTTGTCTTGTCCATCGCTTTTCTTCAATTTCAGCAATTTCATTAATCGATACAAATTGTCCCGCGTTGGCCTTAAGTTAATTCTTTTTATTCTTCTGCTAATGGGAAAAGAGCATCTTCATAGAAAACCCAAGCATCTTTTTTGGCAAAATATGTGTAGCCGACGCGAGACTAAACTTTATTGCATATTTCAATCCCTCACTTATCAATTTTCGCTAAATCGATCCTTCGACCTTTTGTTTTGACCATCTAAGTCCAATTTATAATTATGCCCACGTTGATCCCTGATCTTCCAGACGCTTGCACTTTAGTCCTCAAACTTTTTGCTTCTTCAATATTGGTTCTTCAAGTTTTTAAAATGTGTAAGTTGATCCCAAAGTTCATATTTCATCAATTTGATCCCTTAACTTTCCAAATATCAATTTTAGTCCCCAAAACTTGTGATATCATCCAATCAACTATCCAGAGCTTCCAATTACACTTCTAGATAGTTAAGCTCCAAAATTTCTTCTTTTTTGCTTGATTAAACTCCAAGTCGGTGTTTTACGCAGAACAATAATAAATACATTAAAATAAATAGAATTGTGTTCAAATTAATCACTTTCAAGTAACTTTAAAACATGCTTATCAACTCCCACAACCTTTAAATCTCTATAGTCTTCAACCGTTTTTAACCTCAAATTCCGCTTCCACTATCAAGTGAGACTATAAAACCAAAGCCACAACCTCTACCATTTTGCTCCAGAATACTCTTTAAGACGGTCTTCATACATGTCCCAAGAAATCTCACAATTAATTAGCAAGCGACTCCACATTCCAACATTACGTGCTCAATTGCCTTGTGCGTGACTTGTACACACATTGAATTCCCGTTTCATTGAGTCCTTGAACTTTGTTTTGTTTTGAAGTGATTGCCTTTTGTTTTAATTTGATAAATCGTTTAAGTGGAATTGATCTTAAGCACCAGGTGATGTAGCATACTACAGTAGATAGTATCATCAGTTTCGTAATCAATCATTATTTTTCATCAACTATTATAATGTGTCATATCACCTAAATGATTAGCATAAATTAAGCATCCACACTTTGGAGATCAGTTTAAGTTCGTTTAGTACCAAAAATGCCTTCCAACTGTAATGTCTGGCGGGAAAAAAAAAAAAATTAGAGAAAAAATAGGGCGAATCGTCCCGAAAACCATGTCCCTTGTTTCCCCTCCCCCCTGACTATATTCACCGATCACAGACTACCGCCGAAACTGCTGTTGGCGAGGCGATTCATTCCGTTCCTGAGTGTATCAACCCTAAAACATTGCACGGTCTCTTAACCCCTAAACCTCAAACGGCATTTTCAGTCCCGCAATAGATTTGATTCAATAATCAAATAAAAGAACTGGTACAGCAAAAACCCATTTCAATTTTTTCTTTATGTTGATAAGAAAATCAATAAGCCGCTAAGCGAGTGATAACGATGCCATTTTGGGCTCAAAGAGTTTCAATTTCCAAGATTTTCTCTACAGCTTTTCTCCATGGTCACGCCCAGATAGAGTCATCCCACTCTCACTCCTCCACTCTGTGGTTCGTAAAAATTGTATGTACTCTATGTGTTCGTGACTCGCAGTTTCTCACTATTTTGAGTTTGGATTATTTCCGCAAAAATTTGAGCCCTTTTATAGCTTTCTGCGTTATTCAACATTTAAATAGTAGACTAAATAACCCCAGATTGGCATTCAGTTTCTTTCAATATACAAGGCTTGATTTCAATCTCATTCATTCGATTCCTACTTTTGAGTTGCTCCTGAGGTCACTCTGCCAAGTTGGCCTGCACGATTTGGCTGATTTAGCATATGAATACATGAAAACTGATGGTTTTGTCCCCAGTAGCTTGCTTCTAGATAATATAGTTACATTCTTTGCCAATGGTGGCAGATTTAAGATTGCCAAAGAAATTTTGATTTCACAAGCAGAGTTGTACAGTAAGAAAGCGGAAGTTCTTAGTTCTTTTGTATGCCACAGTTTGTTGAGGTTGTTGTGTAAAAGAAATCAGGTTGATAAGGCAGTTAGTTTTTTTAGAAATCATATTTTGAGATTACGGGGGTTTTGCCCTGATACGTGTAGTTTTAATATAATTATGCGGGGATTGTGTAGAGTGACAAAGGTAGATAAGGCTTTTGAGTTTTTTGATATTATGAGGAGTTTTGATTGTTTGCCAGATCTTATTACATACAATACACTCATTAATGGGCTCTGTAGGGTTGGTAACGTGGATAGAGCACGGAATTTATTGCAAGAGGTTCAATCACAAGGTGAATTTTTACCTGATATTGTGACAGATACATCAATTATTTCTGGATACTGCAAATTGGGTAAGATGGAGGAGGCTGGTGATCTTTTTGATGAGATGAGTAATCGTGGGATTAGGCCAAATGTAATTACTTTTAATGTTCTTATTGATGGTTTTGGCAAAAAGGGAGAAATGATTTCAGCATCACAGATACATGAAAGGATGGTTGGTGGTGGCTATCATCCTGATGTTTTTTCCTTCACCTCTCTCATTGATGGTCATTGTCGGGCTGGTGGGTTGGAACAAGGATTGAAGCTCTGGGATGAAATGAATGAGAGGAAAGTGTCTCCAAATTTATTTACTTTCTCAGTTCTCATCAATGCTCTGTCCAAGGAGAATAGACTAAATGAAACTCGTGATTTATTAAGGCAGTTGCAATGGAGGGAAGATGTCATTCCCCAAACATTTATTTACAATCCTGTAATTGATGGATTTTCTAAGGCTGGTGATATAGATGAGGCAAATGCTATTGTTGCAGAAATGGAGGTGAAAGGATGCAGCCCTGATAAGCTGACATTCACCATTCTCATTCTGGGGCATTGTATGAAAGGAAGAATGTCTGAAGCAATAACCATTTTTAACAATATGTTGACAGTCGGTTGTGTCCCAGATGGAATTACCACAACTGCTTTGGTATCCTGCCTCAGAAAGGCAGGGATGACAAATGAAGCCTATAAAATAGGGCAAAAGATATCAAATGATATGCACTCAGGTTTATCAACTCCAGAGAGAAACGAACCATTCAGGACCAATATTACTGTGGCTGTTTAGTTGAAAGCATTATATTGTTTAGTTGAAAAAGTCAAAGCATTTTCTTGCTTTGGCCTCAGCCAGATTGCAAGCACTTTGGTCCAAGAAATAAGGATATCGCCCATTCTATTTACTTGCCAGCGGCAGTAAGTTCACTTTACTTTTTTCCTGTTGAATTCATTGCTACTATCTTCCCATTCTTTCATCTTAAAGTAGATACTCTCATGCTTCACTTTCTTATGGGTAGATTTATCGTTTTTGTCATTCATGTTTGATCATACTTGTTGATGAAAAAGTTATTAGTGATAATACAAGTAAATCAAAAGATATTGGACATAGAAGTTGTATTGGAAGAAATAATTGGACAAAAAGAACTAATTCGGGAGAGAGATTTTCGTAATCAGTTTCTGTGCTGCTAACTTAGGAGCTTTCACTTGTAGTTTAAAATTTGGCTTTTAGTTTCTTAGGGTTAACCAATTCTGTGTATGCCTTTCCCTGCACACTCGCACTCTTTATATACCACTTTTTTGTATTTTGAAAATATACAGATTTCATCAAAGCTGTTTTCATGGCACCATATTGACTTGTGATGTTTTCTCCAATTCTAGAACTCCCACGTGGAAACTGTTTGAGCAAAGGTATTCCGGTTCCTTCTTGTTATTTGAGAATGAAAGGCAGTAATGACATAAAATAGTTATGCTGCAGTTGCAGTTGCAGTTGCAGTTGTTTTCACAATTTTTATGACTTGGCAATGCCCTGATGCTCTATTCTTCCTGACATTTCAAATCTTGACTCTCAGTTTTTGTCTTGACATATATATATATTTCTAAATAAACTCACTCTTAACAAGGCTTGATCTTTTTGCACTTTATGGATTGCTAATGGTAGTTTAATTTGTTAACACTGTTTTGTTTAAGAGAAAATATAACTATCTATGCATAACCTTGACAAGCCAGATAATTTTGGACCTTTGCTCACCTTTTTACATGATTTCGCTGAAGTAATATATTTTTCAGCTTATTAAAAGTTGATTCTTTTTGTGAATTTCAATATACTGGTCTGTTCTATGGCTTTGGATCTCATATCTAAGCTGCTTGGTGGTTCCTGCCTTTTATCTTCTTATAATGGGGGCCGAAAGTTTTGTAAGTTTAGCGGTGCAGCTTCATGATCTACCTTTGCACACAGTATTTCTATATAGCTCTTTCTTATATGCACAAGCTTCAGTGTTTCCAAAAATAATTGTTATGGTTCAAGGTTCTGAGGATTATCCATAAAAAAGCTTATGTTCTATAAGAAGTTTAATGATGTAATGCAATATGCATGAAACACATTCTTTAGAAAAGCAACGTGCTTTGCATATTGGATTCTGAAACCCTCTATCTGATTAGGGGCTAGTGAGCTGAAGTTTATCCAGAATAGTTAAAAGATTTTAATCCACTGCTTTATCTAAACTGCTTTACATAGTTTAATTGCTTGCTGTGCTGTTTGCCATTTGCCGTTTGCACCTATCATTTTCTTTGATTGTTCTCACCAACCTGCTTGACTTTGGAGGCATGGTTATTAGACTCCTTATGCCTCTGTAGCAGGCTGTAGAATGTGTCACCATCCACTGCAAATACGATGAGCACTCTAGAAATGTCAATTTATCTAGACATATGTAGCTGTTTTGACTTTTTGATTCGGGGGTTCTGATATTCTTTCTATATTGTACTCTGGCTTGTGTAATTAAGTCGTTGATCTTTCTTCCTGCATCTCAAAGCTAAATTTGCTGATTCATATCACTACTGGACACGGGGGAGAAATAATTTGTGGCGAGGTTCTCTTCAATATCCAGCTCTGTGTTATTCTGCGTGGCTGAGGTATGGATTGCATTCTTTTTGTTTTATATACTTTTGTATCTATTTCTAAGTCTTGCACTGTACAAGGTTCTCGTATTTGAAGCTTCACAAAATTATCTATCACCACATGTTGCTCTGCAGGGTGGGCTTTATGTGTGCATGCATACCTTGAGATGAGACATTTTTCTTTAGATATAAATTTTTGCTCAGGTCTTGCACTTCTGTTTGCCTGACCCTTCAAAATTGCTTGTCGTATTGGGTATCAAGAATCTTTATATAGACTATAGTTAATGACTGCGTCACTGGGTTTCCATGATTGGAAGATCGTGATTATAGTGAGGGAACTGTCAGTTAATAATTATGATTCATGACGGTTTGATTTTCAACATGTTCATCAATCCATTTGCCTTGCAGGGTTAGTTTGGCCAAGCTCAAATATCATGTTATCTGTAGTAAGATTGTAATGCTGCTTGAATTGGCCTCACCTTTATTCAAGTATTACTTTTTTAGATAGAAAGATAATGTTATAAGTGTTGTTCATTGCTTTAATCGGTTCATAAAGTTAGAGGTGCAGTTCTGTAGGTGCTAATAAAGCAGTGGGAAGTATTGGCTATATTCTTTATCGCAATTGTAAATTCAAATTAAATAGATGTCTCCTGAACACTTGCACTGACGAATGAGGACATAACTGCAAGTTTGGCTAAGCTTAAAAAAAGGTAAAAGTACTTTTTTGGCAAACATGTTTGGCTGAAAAAAATTACATAAAAGTAACTTTGAAGCTTAGACATATGTTTGGCTAAACTTAAAAGTAACTATTAATGACACTTACTTTTCTTAAGGCTTAGCAAAACATGCTCTTATGCTGCTATTGTATAGATTCTGGTCCAATTCTTCTAATGTAGAATTGGTGGGGGGGCCTTTTGAAGGTTGAAATTTCACTGTGGTATACACACCGACGACCTTTTCTGCTGTCTATCTACATCATGGTCTTACTATCTGGTAAATCATACTTCATATTTAATCTGTGTTTTGATCCTGTGATTTTCTTAACGCAGGCACGAATTCATACTATCTCAATGGTTTCAACAAGCGCTTCGATAATTATTGGGGTGTTTTTAGGTTACTCTCGTGCATTCATGGATCCCAGAAATGAAAGTTGATTATATCATACTCTTGTTGGCTCGTCTCCATTGTGTGCCTGGTTTATATGAGACGTCCTTCCTTTTCTTCGCTGCCCGTGACTCCGAAGTTTAAAAGGACACCATCTTCTCTCTCACCACGGCAGGAGGGGGAATGAGATGAAATTACTTATTGTTGATTGGAAAGAAGAAAGGGGATGGTGTATTTGTTTGCATTTTCCATACCTTCTTTGTCCGATGGAACTTCAAATGAATAAGGTATGAATGAGAAAAAAGTATGCTCATTTAAACCCGTGTTTGTTCCATTTTCGTGTAGTTACTGTAGGCGACAAGTCGATGAACTGAACGCCATCTATACGTATACCAGAATCTCTAGGGATTACAATGGAAAGGAGATGCACAAGTAGTATTTTTGCCATGTTTTCAAGACTTGTTTCCTTTTACTTGATTAGGCCATGTTTATTTCAAATTTGATACAGTAAGCCGTAAGGTGCTTCCACCTTAGAACTAAAGCTTGTTTGGCTAAGTTCAGAACAAATTTGTTACTAACTTATTACAAGGGAAAGTTTCACAAATAGCTTAAAACGAAAAAACAAATTCTCAAAATACTGTGCAACTTCGTAACCTATTTTAAAAAAAACCAAACTACTGTTTTTAAGTATCAATTTTCGTTATTATTTTTATCTTTACACCATTGTTTCACTTTCTTTCTTCGTTACACTTTGTAACATAATGATTTTCTGCACATTTTACAAGTTGTTTTCACCACTGTTGCCTATTTTCACTCCGGCACAATTTGCACCATCTACGCCACCACTTGACTGTAACTGCCTGTCTCTACCATGGTAAACCACTTGCGAAACCCTAGGCTAGCCCACTTACCACCACCACGCTTGAAATGGAGCCTACACACCACCATCTCGTCAGATTTGCATTGCAACCATCCAATTTGTATTGTCATCTCATCATCGCCATAATAATGAACCTCATTGGAAATATGTTAAAAGAATCATGAGGTATCTCAAATGGACTACCTATCATAACATGTTACTCAAGAAGTCAACCAATGCCTTCAATACAGGGTGCTCAGATGTAGACTGGGCATTTGATCTTGACGATAGAAGGTCTACATCAGGGTTCAAGGTGTATCTAGTGGTAATTTAGCCCTTGTTTGACAACTGTTAAATGAGTATTGGAATAGTGATTTTTTGAAAAATGTGTGATTAAAAATTACTAAAACGTTTTTAGTTTACGTGCAAAATATTTTACCGTGAGAAAGTGTGTTTGAAAATGAACTTGAAAAAAAAAAGATTTCTATTTTGATGGTTATCAAATCAGGGGCTTAGTTTATTAGAGTTGAAAAAGTGATGTAGAGGAAATTAGATGTTCATATAGTACAATATTAGACTATTGATATTCTTACGAAAACTCTTATCAACTATGCATTTCTTGTTAAAGAACAAGCTCAAGGTTGTTGCTCCAACAACAATGAGCTTGAGAGGAAGTGTTGAATGTTATAATCCATTGGCGACTCAGAAGCACGAGCAATGTGAGTTGTTATCAGAACATTATTTATCGACCTGGAGCTTGTTTGATTCTCATTTTTTTTCTTAAGAATGCATTTTAGAATAGTATATTGATAGATAATGTGTAGTTGAAAAATAAGGAAAATTTTTGAGTTTGTATGTAATATTATTTTATTGAAAAATGTATGATTGATAAGAATAGAAAGAAAATTGTATTTTAAAAATAACGAGAATCAAACAAAAGTCTAATAGGAAAATATTATCAGAAATAGATCTGATTTCTTGTTATCATTGGTAGTTATCAATTATCTTTTATAGTTATCTTTTTGTGTCAATCCTTTGAGCATATACAACTTTTTAGTAGTGAATATACGAATGGGCATTTTGATATAGATTTTTTCGGAATGGATTTTATGAAAAAAAAAAGATTATTTTTTTGGGATATGTTATTAAAACCTGTGTAAAGTTAAGAATTCAAGTGAAAAATTATTTTATTAAAAAATTATTATTTTTGAAAATAAATTTGAAGAAAATAAGTTTTAAATAATTTTTAGGACAAGGACAAAAAGTTTAAAACAAGTAAACAAAGAGGGCTAAAAGGAATTTCTTCCCAAATCGCTCACACACACTGGGAGAAAGAGATTCACAAAGACACAACTTCATCTAAACAAGCATACATATACGCACAAATCTCTATCCATAATCTCCTTTCTCTACAAAAACACACGAATAATCATCTTCATCTCACTCGTCACACGCATATAAAGAACCCAGAAATTGGAAAAGGAAACAGATTGGGGTTTCTCTCTAGAAATTTCCATACACAAATATTAAGGTTCTGAAACAAACAACTCGAGGCGGCGAGGAAGACTAGGTTTTTTTTCCCTACACACAAGACTTCGGGGTATATTGTTCTTCTTTAATAAAATCTGGGTCGGTCGGTCTTATTAATCTTCAACGCTTAGACATTTTTGGTAGTTTCGCACAAAACTGGACTGCTGAACCCAATCGGATTTTTCTTGAATTTTTGGGTTTTTTGTTGTCTTTGGATGATTTTAGGTTCTGGGCTCTAGTAATCTCTCTGTTTTTCATACGAGTGTTTCTTGAAGAATTGCTTGGATTTTCGAACTTTTATGCATGGAGTAGGCTATTGTTTGTGTGGGCTATTGTATGAATTTTCCTGTTAGCGTGATGAGGATCTTCTTGGCGTGTTTTTTCTTGAACATGAAGGCCTTGAGAAGCCTTTGTTGAAACCGGTTCTGGGCATTGAAAAGATTGCAGAAGTTTGGCATTGTTAATAATGCCGGTAGATTTCTTGTTAGTTGGATTTCACATATATATAAATTGTACAGAGAGAGAAAGAAAACCCTAGCGACCCTGTATATAACAGTTCTGATTCTTTTATTTGAGGAGGTTTTGGCTTGTGAATTTTTGATTGGTAGAGTAGTTGCTAGTGTGCCAAGGACTTTGGTGTTAAGGAAAGTGGGATTAGTGTGTAGTAGATTTCAGGTTAAAATACGTTTGGGTTAACTTGGTGAAGATGCCTTCACTAATATTTGGGTGTGAAAATCTGGCAGTTACCAATCATTAATACGCGGAGTTGAATGTGTGGTCATTAATTTGAAGAAGACAAGTCCTTTATTCTTTTGTATGATCATGTTTAGCACTAGTCATGGAAAGAAGTGAGCCAACGCTAGTACCGGAATGGTTGAAAAGTGCTGGGAATCTGACTGGTTGTGGCACTTCATTGCATTCAGGTAAACTTTTTCATCTTTTTGAAGCATCTGGTATGAAATGTCTTCTTGTTAATTGGTTTATGCTGGGATCTAACTATGTTTCTGTTGTTTTAGATGATAATGCTGGATTGAAGCTTGCAAGAAATAGGTCTTCAGTGAATAGCAATGGTCATGATTTAGGGCGATCACTTGGTTCTGACAGAACTACTTCCTCATATTTTCGCCGTAGTTCCAGTAGTAATGGTTCAACTCACTTGAGGTCTTACAACAGTTTTAGTAGAAACCACCGAGACAGAGACTGGGAGAAGGATGCATATGAGTCACGTGACAAAGAAAGGTCAGTTTTTGGGGACAGTAGGCGGCAAGACTTTTCAGACCCGTTAGGGAAAATTTTGTCTAGTAGTTTTGAGAGGGATGGGTTAAGACGTTCGCAGTCAATGGTCTCTAGGAAACATGGAGATAACTGGCCTAAGAAAATCTTAATTGACTCTAGCAATGCCAGTGGAAAGAATACCAATGGGTTGGTTCGCCAGGGCAGCCCCATTGGCAGTGTGAACAAAGCCTCATTTGAAAGAGATTTTCCCTCCCTGGGAGCAGAAGAAAGATCAGCTGCTCCTGATATAGTAAGAGTTCCTTCTCCCGGTTTGAGTACTGTCATTCAGAGCTTACCAGTTGGTACCTCAGCTGTGATAGGTGGCGAAAAATGGACGTCAGCTTTGGCAGAGGTGCCTGCGTTAGCTGGAAGCAACGGAACTGGAGTTTCCTCCACCCAACAAGCCCCTCCTTTAAGCTCTGCCACCGTGGCTTTGAGCATGACCACTGGTCTCAATATGGCCGAAGCCGTGGTTCAGGGGCCTCCTCACACTCAGACTACTCCTCAGGTAGGTTCATTTCTCCCTTTGTTTGGGGATAACATAAAAATTCTCATGCTTATTCACTATTTTATTTGGGTAGTTATCTGCTGGAACTCAGAGGCTTGAAGAACTTGCTATCAAAAAATCTAAACAATTGATTCCTGTGACGCCATCTTTGCCAAAAGCATTGGTAATAAACCAATACTTCTTTGTTTTATTGTTTTTTATATTTAGTTGCTTTGTGCTTGTTCTTTATGATGTTTTTGTAAATTTGCATTTTTCTTTAGTTGCATTTTTTATTCAAGATTCATAATTGAACTATTTTTCCAGTTGCGGTCGAGTTGAGGAAAGAACTCTATTTTGTAGTGGAACATGATCTGGACTTCTTTACTGTGGATTTGTAGGCTCATTTAATTTTGAATCCTGCTCGGTTTTTAGTTAGAAGAGGCCATTGATTCCTCAGTTACGCGATACTAAAACTTTGGCCATATTATATTTGCTTATTAACGACTCACGTGAGTTCATATAATCATGACATACATGTGAAGACCTTGTAAATGAGGACAATTTAATGTGGGAGACTCATGGGCTTTTCTAAGTAAAGATGTAAATTGGAAAACCGAGATAATACGTGGTTAGAAAAGGGATTTAACAGCATCATCCTGCATCAAAGTTTTTACTTTTAAAATGAGTATACTTTATTCTATACCAGATAAATGTAAGAAATATCTTATCCAAATTTCTAGATTTACAAAGTGAATTTAACAAACTGAAATCAGCTATTGAAGGATACTCTATAGTTAGATAAATAAAGAACCTACCTTTAGATTGTAGACTTCCATTCTGCGTTTTTGGTATACCTGGAGTGTTTCTCATATTCTAAGGTGTACTTCATAGTTATCATCCCTGGAATACTGAGAAAATATCGATTATGAGAAATCTATTTATAAATTGACTGATTTCGTTATACAGTCATGTGATCCTTAGACAAAATGAATGATCATTATCCATGTATTGAAGTGTCGAGCCTCATCTTCGTATAGACATTCAATTACACTTGCTGTTGTGGTTTTCACTCCAATACTTACGTGCACCTCTAATTACTCTACTATTTATATTTTGGTTGTTGCTTCAGTCTTTTATGTAATTGAATTTTGTAGGTTTTATGCACACTGATTTATGCTTAGCCTATCCTTTTCTTTTCGTAAATATTGAAGTGAATATGAATAACATTATTAGCTTTTATTTCCTGTAATTATCCTTTTCACACTTAATTTGGGGCAGCTAGCCTACATGATGCTTAGTCATCAATGTTCAGAATTCTAATTGACGAAAAAATGAAAAAAATGAGAAAACTTCCTAATTCTGGTACTTAAGCATAGGCCAAATAGGTTACTGTTTTATCTCCTCCTGAAAGTTCATCATTTTCTTACCAGTATTAAATGGAGGAAGCTAATAATATCTTGATCTTCTATATTTGGAAGGTTGGTTGGTGGATTATGCTGCATTTTTTTTCGATCAAAGGAGAAAAAACGGTTAATGTTGTTTTACTCAAGAAAGCTTAGGCACTTCATTGTTTTTTCTTATTTTTGCAGCCTTTGGGGACAACTAAAGGGTGAACTCAGTCTATTGTTAAGAGTTTCACTTGTATTCATTTTGTTTCCTTTAAGTCGAGCAGCTTCACAATACCACCAATTGTCATTTCACCTACTTCAACCATCGTAACCCAATCAACCTTGATTAAGGCTACTAGAATGGATGAATAAATGTTGGGAGAATTCATTACTGAGAGGATGAAAGGTGCAAAATCATACTTCTTGATTAAGGCACCAATTCTTCCCACTAAAATCGACAGTTTCACTGTAGAACTCGTGCCTCCCAACTGCTCCTTTTAACCTTGGTTTTCTTCTTCACCTTGATGGTTGTTTATTTACCTTTTAGGCCTGTATTGGATAATTTTACATGTCTATTGTCCTCAAAAAACACGCTGTGCTAAGTTTAAACTTTTCCGCACTATACTGTTACTACACCATCTCCCAAAAAGAAAAAAAAAGAAAAAAACATCTTTGAAGCTTTATTTTCTTCTTATCTGGCCACTTTCTAGAGAGAGAAATGTTGTATGTGTTTTGCTGGAGTCTGTACCGGGCTCAGAGTATCGAAAATTGTATATTAACCACTGGTTTTCTTTCTTGAAAATTTTCCTTTTTAATCATTTATTTTGGAGGGATGGATGTGGTTGTACTCAACATATGTACGAGTTTCGTTTTCATTGGTGACAATAATGGCCAAAAGAAGTATTTTCTCATTGTAATATGGGAAATATCAGTATATGTTTTCCTCGGCAAGTAGATAATAATTTGTGACGTCTTAAATAGAAAGGACATCCGAATAGTTTATCCAATGAGATTATGTTAAGTATAAGTTTGACCCACCCCATCATTTACCTCCCCTTGACTATGATAGTTTCTCTGTTGAACTTTTATGGAAGGTAGTTCAAGTTTTTTCACCTTAGCTTTTAGTTAATACATACAGGAAAATATCCATGAATTCCTTGCTTTTAAGATGAGCATAATGTTGTGCATGAAGGGTAAGTTGTAACTAGTGACATATCATATATCATTTGAATTGTCCTCGTATAATTTAAGTGACTCCAGCTAATTAGGGAATTTTCGAACTAGTCTTCTAAAGGCAAGAAGTGAGCATTTGATAGACACAAAACCAGTTACCTTGTAGTTATTCTCATGTTTCTTTCACTTGCTCCTCCCTTGGTATGTGGTAGACACACAAGGATATTGTGAAGGAAAATAAGAAGAATGTGGCTTGAGATTGAGAAGTAGAGAGCAGCCTTATGACAACTGATGAGATTTTGTGTTTCTATGGCAAACATGGTTGCAGTTTTTTTAGTGAAACATTTGGGTAGGAAATCTTGATTAGTTACTTTAAGTTAGTCTATTATGTCCTGTATTACCTAGATATAGAATATTGATGAAATTATTATTAAACCACGTCTGTGCTTGTACATATAAAATGCTATTTTTCTAATTATGTCAATGATGTAAATATGATATTTTTTGGAACATTAGGGACTCGTCTATGCTTATATCTAATGCTTTTATTTTGACTCTGTTCTTGAGACTCTGCTGTTGTCACTGTTATTTTTTATTTTTTACCACATAGGTTATAGTAACTAGTTGGAGGGGTTGACTTTCACACTCTTCTGCACGCATCAATTATTATGGGATCTGTTATATATGAAGCACACTTCCCAAACTTAGTGATGAAATTAGAATTAAAAATATGATATTTTCTTCATTGGCTTGGTTCCATTGAGTTCTCTTCTGGAATATCAGTCAAAGGAAGATGGTAAATTTTAGATAAGCTTGGCGACTATCAATAGATTTTGGCGTATTGATTAACTCCTTTGCCAACTTGTAAGATAGATAAGTAATGGGGTGATTTTCAATTGATGTTTATAGAATGCATAAGATGCATCTTTATGACAGACATAGTGGTGTTATTCAAACTGACTAGTGAGGGAAAATGTCATTCCTCCCACTTCTGTTTCTGACCATTTTCTTTCTAAACTTTTATGAACTTATTATAAATTGTCAATAAATTGAATTGCTTGAGCGGTTCTCAATTTTTAGGAATTTTGCCATTTAGATTTGGGCAGCTTTCTATTTTTTTGACACCAGTTGTTTGTATATGGTTTGATGTGAACCTTTTTTTCAGGTGTCAAATTCTTCGGACAAACAGAAGACTAAGGTTGGCCATCAGCAGCATCCTCATGTTACTAATTCTTCACGGTGTGCAGCTGTGAAACCTGATGTTTCAAAGATATCTAGTGTGGGGAAGCTTCAAGTTCTCAAGCCAGTGCGAGAAAGAAATGGCTTCTTTCCTGCTGTGAAGGAAAACTTAAGCCCAACAGCTGGTAGCAAAGCAAATTCCTCACTTTCTGTTGCTTCATCTGTTTCTGGATCTGCAGCAGTTAGGCCTCCCCCACACAACCCAGTCCTTCATACTGTTGAAGGCAAGCCCGTACTTACTGCATTGGAGAAGCGTCCCACTTCTCAAGCACAAAGCCGAAATGACTTTTTCAACCTCATGAGGAAGAAGTCTATGGCAAATTCCTCATCTATTTCTGATCCTGTCATGCCCTTGTCTTCGACTGTATCTGAGAAGCTTGGTGAAACACAGGTATCCTCTGCTTCAACTACTACTGAGGCCAGAGACGCACAATCACCTGTTAGCTCAAGTGGGGGCCACTTGTCCGAGGAGGGGAGTGATATGACCTGTAATGGTATTGAGAGGCAAAAATGTCTTTGCAATGGAAAGAAATATCCGAGATCAGATCCATCATTTTCAGAGGAAGAAGAGGCTGCATTTTTACGCTCTATGGGCTGGGAAGAAAATGATGAGGAGGGGGCCCTCACTGAGGAGGAAATCTGTGCTTTTTACAGGGATTTACAAAAGGTACAAGATATTTTTGATATACGAGTCTTGTATTGCCTCTATATGATATAAACTGAAGCTCATGTACCTACCATTTGAAACTTATAAATTTTCTGATGCTGTTGTGCAGTATATCAATTCAAAGCCGTCCATGAAAATATTGCCAGGAGTACCGCCAAAGATTTTGTCGCCGTTCAACTCGCGAGGCATTGGTGTCATTGCTTCTGGGTTGAGCTCATCTGATGCTAAACTGGAATCTTGATTCACTGAACTTTATGCGGGGGTATCCTTTTGGTGGTTCTTCAATTTATTTCGATTTACGGGTAGCTTAGTAGGTGCAGTAAGGATGGTGCATTTAAACAAAGTTTTTCCGTGCCTTGGAAGTGGGATAGAAACAAGCAGTCCCAACTCCCGAGGTGACTTCTGATGACCGGGTTCTAGAGTTTTCTGAGGTTCAAATGTCGAGTAAAGAAAATAGAATAGGTTTCTTGTCAAGTTGCTTCAAGAAATTGCTCGGTTTTCAAAGTCGGTATCTAACAGTTTTGGGTTTTTGAATAGGCGTTCTTTCAAAGAAAGTATGGTTTCTTTACTCCATTAAAAGAAAAAAACGTGTTTTTAGCATCTGCTTACCAGTCGATTTTTTATTTTTTCATGCGTTTATTTCTTGATTGCTGCTGTATTATCCTTTTATACTAGTATGGTGTCTATGGATGCAGAGAACTCAGAATGATTTTCTCGACTAGCTGAAAGATTCTGAGACAGGAATGAGTCTTCTTTCTGTCATGCCGGATTTGAGTGATTTTCTTGAATGATTTTCGAGCCGTTGATTGGTTTTCTGTGCCTTGCAATTTTGTTAGCAAGTCTTTTCCACTCTCTTGCAATAAGAGTTTCCTATTTTGACCATATTTTGCCATTAACGTAGCTCATTTCCATTACCTGAAACATGCCGGTAAAGTTAGGTTCTGTTTTGATACGTTGAATTAAACAAGATTAAGAGGGCGTTTGGTGAGGATTAAAATTAGATTTTTAGTAGATTGTGATAGAAGTATTTGAAATGTGTTGTTGAAAAGTTGTGGAAGTCATGAAAGATGTAGTTAATATTGATTGTTTGACTTTGACTTAAATTAAAATTTGATTTTAATCCAAAACAAACAAGGCCTAAGAAAGCAAGGTATGTGATATAATTTATTAATTATTTCGTCTAAGGAATATTAAAGACGTGTTAATGGAATTGTGCAAGTTGAAAGATCATGTTTTTATGCATGAGCGGACGGTCATGTGGGGTCAAATGATCCCACAATTTTTTTTTTTATTTTTGAGTTTTTTTTTTAAAAAAAACTTTTTCCCCATTATTATTATGTAAGATTTAAACCACCTACATAGAAAAATGATGCCAAAAGTAGTGTCAGAATTCTAGATGACGAGAGTTGATTTGATGAAAAAGGCGACTTTGTTTTAAACAGTCAATTTTAGAATGTCATGTAAAGCCGGTAAAGTTAGGTTCTGTTTTGGTACGTTGAATTAAACAAGATTAAGAGGGTGTTTGGTGGGGATTAAAATTAGATTTTTAGTAGATTGTGATAGAAGTATTTGAAATGTGTTGTTGAAAAGTCGTGGAATTTATGAAAGATGTAGTTAATATTAATTGTTTGACTTTGGCTTAAATTAAAATTTGATTTTAATCCGAAACAAACAAGGCCTAAGAATGCAAGGTATGTGATATAATTTATTAATTATTTCGTCTAAGGAATATTAAAGACGTGTTAATGGAATTGTGCAAGTTGAAAGACCATTGTTTTTATGGCCTGTTTTATTTAGAATTTTCGAGAAATTGATTTTGAGAAAAGTGATATTTTCAAAATGCGTGGTTAAAAAATAAGAAAAGGTTATGATTTCCAAGTGAATTTATTTTATTCGAAGAATGTGGTTAAAAATGACTTTGAATTTTTTTAAAATTTTGTATCAAAGTGAGCTTAATAGCGATTTCTTATCAAAGCAGGCTGAGTCCACTTGTCAATACTTGTTTTGACATGGTTTTGTTTTTACTTTTTGTAGAAAAAGTTTCTTTAATTTTTATTTGAAAATTAATTTCTAAAAGAGTTTCTTATTTCGAAAGCACTATGAAGCTACATTGAATCAATTTTATCAATTTTTTTTAATTAAAAGTGGCATTTTCATAAAATTAGCCAAACGAATCTCAAGTAGCTTTTGAATCTTAAAAGCCTTTCTTGACTTCTCAGAAGTCATATAAAACGGGTCTGTCATCTTTAGTGAGCTTGCTAAGCTTGCAATTTTGACCTTTAATTTCGTAACAGGTAATTTTCATCATTTTTTTCAATTAAAAATTGTGAAATGATGAATATATTATTCTATTTAAAATATTAAAATATAAGGGTTTTAAAATATTTACGTAGAATCGAGAATCCTACCAGAATGACAACAAATAAACATACGTAGGAGAGGACTCAACTGCCAGTTCCTGTGTAGGTATGGTTACCCTACTTATAGACACATGTAGCAGCTGAGCCAAGATCTTCATGCAGGGCGGCAAAATAATGTTCAAGGACCAAAAATTACTTTATTATGTATGTATATATAAATTACTTGTATTATGTATGTATATATTTGGAAAAAAAAATCTCTATAGATTCAAAATTAATTTCAAAATGTTGCAGGGCGGTTCTGTCACCCTCTATAGCTCGATACATGAGCTTGATTAGCAGGGATGGATCCAGCATTGAAGTTCAGTTCGGGCGGACGTTGACCGGTCAACGTCGAGAATCAGCAATCGTAAGAGCGACGTCGACAATCAGCAATCGGAAAATGGGCCAAAATCCAAATCACAACTCAATCAATCTAAACTCTAAATTAAAATTTGTAATTCAAAATTTCAAACAATAGTGCAAATGTGCAACATATAAATTAGACAATTAGTGAACTAATTTCTCATAATCTCATAAGTCATATGATACAATCTCATTTCAAATTTATGATAATAATACAACTAATTTCTCATTTCAAATCAATGCACAA